AACATATATATTATGAGCTCCATGGCCGTGCCAAAATAGATACTCCATCTGATCCATATTAATTGTCGCTCGTGCTAAGTGAGCGACAATTAATATATATCTTTCTCCTGTTCATGCCATTGCAAGGAAACAATAAGTTTATTCGGACTTGGAGTTGTGTTTGTCATCGACACGTCTGGGCATGTTGTTATGATTCTCATCTTTTATTTTTCTAAATTAATAACCTGGCAGTCCTCTTCAAATAGATTGAACCCATTAGACTCTGGTCTAAAAACAAAATTTTCTTGTTAAATACTTATTTTTATATCTTAAAATTTTCTTGTTAAATACTTATTTTATATCTCAAAATTAATAACATGGCAGTCCTCTTCAATCGTATTTACTTTATTTTATACTTTAAATTTTTTTACTCTTTTTTTAACATCAGTACAGACACACACGCTCATATATACACGCATACATTCATCCCTATGAATGCGCGCACACACCCTATCCATATGAGCACATTCGAAAGACTGATTGATTTAAACACTGATGGGCTGGGGATATCACAGTCCCTTTAACCATCCAATCACAGATTGATTCGCTAATTTTTTTAAATCCGTAATTGTCTTTGCCATTTGCCATGAAACTGGGAAAACCATACGATTTCCATGTGTGTCGTGGCCGTATCTTATACAGGTGTGCTCCACAAAACCTCGTCGCGGGTCTGGATTTTGGACCACCCACCGAACCGCCCGCCGGCGATAGCAGCCGCCGCCAATGGCCGCCGTCTCGACGGCCCAAATCCTCCCATTCCTCACCACCTCCACTTTCCAGTCCTCGCTTCTCTTCCCGCCCACAGCACGGCGGGCCCCAACCTCGCTGACCTACGCCGACCGCCCTGCTCCCGCCGTCGCGTCCTGTCCTCGCCCCGGTGGAACCCACAGGACTCAGGCTTTCCAGCCCGTTCTCCCTGCCTGTGCTGCCGTTTCGTACTCCTCGTCGAGCGCGGCAGAAGGTACTGTGGTAATCAAATAGGGGCTGTGCTGTTGGCTTGAGCTCTTGTAATTGTGAGCTTTTGAAGGGGATGAAGGCATGTCTGACCCGGAGCTGAGGCTGGTGCTGGAGCTTGCAACCGACGAGGAGCTGCTGGAACTGGAGGAGATCCTCTATGGTACCAGGTCTGGCGCTCGAGCTTACTGATTGTTCCAATGCTGTTTACTGCTTAGCACTGAGATAACTGATTGTTTGGTTTGGATCATAGTGATGGGTTTCACGAGACAGAGTTGAATTCGCTAGTTTGGAGTTTCGTTAATAGTGTGCATATATAATCTGCTGCGATGTACTAGTTGTTTTGGACTTTTTGGCTGCCTCTTTTGGTTCCTACGTTGGTTATGACGGTAAGCATGCTTTGCTGCAGAATTAGTCAAATATATCTAGTTGCTTGTAAATATAGTGCACGATTACAAAGTAGTAACGCTAACCGCATTCAAATTATGGACAAAGAGGATCAGATCTGTGAATTTACACAGAATAGTGTTACTTTTGTTTTAGAAATAATTTAATTAAACTCTTTGGCAAAAGAGTTAATTATGGTCAAAGAGGATCAGATCTGTGAATTTACTTTTGTAATGCTAACTAGATCATATTTATTTGGAAATGATTAAAATTTCATCTCCTTTGTTTCTTTTTCCATCTACTGATTTTTGAAACCATCATGGTTTTTCTCTTGCGTTTTCTTTATTGTGCTGACTGATTCAGTTAGACCTGATCACTTTCCTGTGTTCGCATAATGGGACTGCCACAAAAAGCTGTGGCGCAATATCTACCTGTCATAATATTCCAATGTTTCACATTGTGAGCATAAGCTTTGGTTCTGTGTCTCCTTATTCTGCAGCTATTTCAGCCCAGTGCTAAAATCAATTGCAAAAAGGCCGAACACCATTTCTGTTGTTGCTTTGGATGATATCGAGGAGAGAGATCTTTTCATCTCAAAATTGGAGTCGAGGTTCTTGTATCTTGCTGCAGATGCACGCTCTGTTCTAAGGTCAGTCAAGTAGGCTTTTATCCCTGTATCATCAAAAATGTATACCTGATTAGATTAATTACCCTGTAGAAGTCGACCTGATATGGTTTGCCACATTTTTGAACGTTTTGTACTTGTACAATTGTTCTTCGTAGGGGCTGGAGGCCATCATACAGGAATGTCTTACTTCAAGTAAGAAGAGAACTTGGTGTTCAGTGCTCCAGTAAATTATGTAGTGCAGACCTGGAGGCAGAAATATTTCTACACCTCCTGGATGAATATTCGAGGTATATACATTTAATTTGGGAAGTATAAGGATGCCCGAACACAAATTTCCCTGGGATATAGTTGTAAACTATGTAACTAGATACGCTGCAATCTGTTTCCTTTTAAACGGATATATAGTTATATACACTGCAATCTATTAACTAGTAATCGACACTATTGCAGTTTCATATTCATTAATTTCTTTTGTGTTTGAAACTTCTAAGACCTATACTCTCTCTTTGCCACTCTAGTGGTCTTGAATACTAAATTGTTTCTGCATTTAGCCGTCAGAAAGGATCATTTTCATTTCCATGGGATAAGCAGAAATCTCCAAAAGAAAACCCTAGCATTGAAGTAAACAACTGGAAGGTGCTTACTGACGCTGCTTGGAGGATTGGAGCAAAGGGACTAGAAAGTACATTCTTGAAGGTTATTTGTGGTTACTTCTTCTCATTTCTTTGTGACCTTTCACTTCTTTGGCTAATTTCATTTGTTCTTTGATATGGAAGGGTGGCAGTGCATTGACCGTGAAAACAATCTATGAATCGGTATGAAATACAGTTTATTTGTTGGAAGATCAAATTCTGCTACTTCTAGTTCTCACAACACCGTTGTTTATTAATGTTACTTACCATTATGGTAGTTAGCCAAGAGACTATCTGGAAAGCTGCTGATGGAGACAGCTAATTATGAGATTAAGAAAGAACTTGTTAAGCAGGTATACCTATTTTAATTGATTCTTTTGGTTTGTTGCTCCTGAATCTCTAATTATGTTGTGGCCATCGCTAGCGCAATAGATAGAACTTCATATCTGCGTTTGCCTAGTATAAGCTCTTGTTCTATTTCCCCATCTGGAAAATGCATTGGCAAAGCTTGATATTTAGACCAACGTGTTTGCATGCTACAACTGATATTCACTACTATCTTAATATAATATCCTCCAGAAGTAATGTCTTTACCTTTTCCAGGGTGGCCGATTAGCTGCTGTTAACCTTGAATCCAGAGCTGGCTTTCTTGCAGCTAGGCAGGTAATACCATCTTTTTATCTTCATTCTATTCCTCGGTGAGCTAGTATGCCCGAAGTGTGTAGGAGGCAGCTGCTTTTGTACATCAATATTGGCATTGTACCCACGTTTTTTTGTCGAAGATCGTACATACAGATGTCAAGTTTTAACAGTCCTCTTGAATGTATGCAGGGTTTGGCTCGTGCAGCATCTAGATATGTTGGCCTTAGGAGTTTCATGAGTTTACTTGGACCAATGTATGTTTATTCTAATATTCTCTAGTATATTTTCATAAACCTTTCCTTGCTGTTACTGCCTTATTTTTCTTCCTGTCAATATCTATCTTACACCATGATCTGATCAAATTAAATTCCCCTTTGCACATGGAGTATTTTGCCTGTAAGTCGCCTACTAACTGTTCTGTGCTTACACTTGACTGTCACACAGAATGTGGGGCACACTCTTGGCTGATATTGTGATCCAAATGCTTGGGACAGATTATGCTAGGATCGTGCAAGCAATCTACGCTTTTGCTCAGGTGAGGTTCACTTTATCTCCTTGTTTAGTCTCAGCAGCTGCATTGATGCATACGTCGCCTTCCTTACAGATTCGGCTCACTCGGTCGTGTTACCTAGAATCTATTGAAGAATGACCAGAGCAGAATCATCACTGGACAAGCCTAACTGGGTGCTCCGATCTTGTCTACCATTACAGCTCCATAGTGTACATTCTGATCACGCAGATCATTCCCGGTCGCGGTACTCCATGGTAAGCTCTGCGGCTTTTTGCAGAGCATAGATAACAGAGCAATTGGCAGATGGTAGGTAGCAAGGACAGATAAGAACAGCAGCATTTTCACCGCTTTGAATTTCAGAAGGCCCATAGCTGCTTCATGTGTGGGAATTTGATTGTGAAGCTTAGGAAAAACAGCATGGTGTCAGGATTGAAACTGTGTATTAGTAGTACTAGTACTTGACAAATAGCTCACGATAGCCATTTGGGCCACCTACTCTCCGAAGGCGGTAGTTGCGGATGAATATACATCGACTTCACACTTCCACGGGGTGCCGAAGTTGTAGAACATGCATTCCATTCTGTCCCGGTTAAACAATGTAAAATAACGGCTCCCCTCATCTTAAACTACTGCGCCCTACCTTTCAGTTAGCCAAGGCGTACTTCGTTGGCATTACTTCATGCTTATACCAGCCATCCATATATCTTAGACAGATGATATGGTTGCATCGCATTTGCATATAGCACCCTGTGCTGATCATCAATGTTTTTTTTACCCCTTGCGGCGTTCATCGGAGCAGTATCTACTACTTATTACTGGTTTAGATGCTAGTTTTGCTTAGGACATAAGATATCTGCAATATTTGCCTCGCCATCAACATTTCCACTGGTGATTTTGGCAACCTGAAGATGGTCGTGCAAAGTTTTTTTCTAAGCATTACATGTGAGAACGCGAGGTGCTGTGTGCAAAGTTTCAATAGGAGACAAGAGCCATGCTGTGAATGAGCGCCATGTCTAGTGGTCTAGAAGGATGCATGGTCCATTGTTTACAGAGCTCGGGTCTCACCAGACCGCCGAAGCTTTCTAAATCCCGGGCACTTACCGCGTGAGAAGGAGCCGAAGGAACCGCTGCATGATCGGCACCATAAAGTGCGGCGCGGTCCAGTCCACGCCAACACCTGTCTTCTCTAGGGGTCGGGTGCGACGACATGGCTGCTAAGATGGTGATCAGCCTGGGGGGCTCGCGGCGGCGGAAGCGCGGCGAGGTGCTGTTCCGGTTCGACTCCTTCTGCCAGCCCGGCTACCCGGCGCAGCTCGCCGGCGCGTTCCGGGACAACGTCAGGACCCTCCTCGGGCTCGCGCACCTGGAGGCCGGCGTCCAGGGCGAGACCAGGTGCTGGTCGTTCCAGCTCGAGCTGCACCGCCACCCCCCGACCGTCGTCAGGCTCTTCGTCGTCGAGGAGGAGGTCGCCGCCTCGCCGCACCGCCAGTGCCACCTCTGCCGTGTCATCGGTACATACGTACAGGCTTTGAGTAACCATCGCACGCACGCGATCAGTCTGTCACGGGGAGATGATCGGTCGCCTATGTGTGTCGTGCCATGTCGCAGGTTGGGGCCGGCACCTGATATGCAGCAAGAGGTTTCACTTCGTGCTGCCCAAGAGGGAATCCTCCGTGGAGACCGACGGGCTGTGCTACGGGATCAGCCACGGTGGCGGCGCCGCCGAGAAGGCGTCAAAAGGGACGGCGACCTCCAGGGGCCACCTGCTGCACGGTATCGTGCACCTCAACGGCTACGGCCACCTCGTCGCCCTCCACGGCTTCGATGGCGGCTCCGACTTCGTCTCCGGCCACCAGATCATGGACCTCTGGGACCGCATATGCTCAGCCTTACACGTAAGGTATATACGTATGTCTGTGACGTTGCAACGTACGTACGTAGTATATGTCGATCGCAAACGTATGTGTATATGCTCTGCATGAGCGAGCGATGAGTTCTCACGTGCACTCACTGAACCTATGTTGTGTGTTGCAAGGACGGTGAGCCTTGTGGACACGGCGAGGAAAGGGCACATGGTACTGAGGTTGCTGCACGGCGTCGCGTACGGCGACACATGGTTCGGGCGGTGGGGCTACATGTACGGCCGCCCGAGCTACGGCGTCGCGCTGCAGTCGTACCAGCAGTCCCTCCACGCGCTCCAGTCCATACCGCTCTGCGTGCTCGTGCCGCACCTCTCCTGCTTCAGCCAGGAGCTCCCCATGGTGGTCACCAAGTACCAGGCCATCAGCGGGCACAAGCTGCTCAACCTCGGCGACCTCCTCCGCTTCATGCTCGAGCTCCGGACCCGCCTGCCGGCCACCTCCGTCACGGCGATGGACTACCGCGGCATCATGTCCGACGCGTCGTGCCGGTGGTCGGCCAAGCGCGTGGACATGGCGGCCCGCGCCGTCGTGGACGCACTCCGCCGGTCCGAGGCGCCGGCCGCGCGGTGGGTCACGCGGCAAGAGGTGCGCGACGCGGCGCGCACCTACATCGGCGACACGGGCCTCCTCGACTTCGTGCTCAAGTCCCTCGGCAACCACATCATTGGCAACTACGTGGTGCGGCGCGCCATGAACCCGGTGACCAAGGTGCTTGAGTACTGCCTGGAGGACGTGTCCAGCGTGCTCCCGGCGGCGGTCGGAGGCGGCGCCGGCGTGCCGCCAGGCCACGGCAAGATGAGGGTGCGGTTCCATCTCACCAGGGCACAGCTCATGAGAGACCTTGTGCACCTGTACAGGCACGTGCTCAAGGAGCCGAGCCAGGCGCTCACCACCGGCGCGTTCGGCGCGATCCCAGTGGCGGTAAGAATGATCTTGGACATCAAACACTTCGTCAAGGACTACCACGAAGGCATGAACGCCACCAACAGTGGCGTAGTCGGGCATGTCTACATCAGCCTTTGCTGCACCTTGATCGTGAGGAACGGGAGCCCGGAGCTGGTTCCGCCGTACGAGACGGTGACCGTGCCGGCGCATGCCACCGTGGGCGAACTCAAGTGGGAGGTGCAGAGGCTGTTCAGGGATATGTACCTCAGCCTGAGGACCTTCACGGCCGAGTGCGTCGTGGGGATCGGCGCCGGCCTGGAGGCCAGCCCGGCGCTCGGACTGATCGGCGTGGGGAGCACCGTCGTGGTCGAAGGGGTGGTCGGCGAGCAGCAGGAACCGGCCGAGGAGGGCGACCAGATGAAGAAAGCGGCTGCCGTGTGCGAGGGGAGCGGCGACGTCGGAGACAGGGTCGTAGACTGCGTATGTGGCGCGGACGACGACGACGGCGAGCGCATGGCGTGCTGCGACATCTGCGAGGCATGGCAGCACACGCGGTGCGCCGGGGTCGCGGACACGGAGGACGTCCCGCACGTCTTCCTCTGCAGCCGGTGCGACAACGACGTGGCTTCGTTCCCGGCCTTGAACTGCTAGAAGCTGCTCCAGGCATGCTCGGTACGGACATACCACAATCGCTGCTAGTCTATCTACATGTAGTATAACCGAGGACTTCAACTGTTTATATTGTTAGCCCCCAAAAAGAAACTGTTTATATTGTCTTTTTTTTCGAAAAGGAGGATTGCCCCGCCCTTTGCATCACAATGATACATGCAACAATATTATTAACTGAAGTCCAGTAAGCATGCAGCGCGTTGCAAAAACTCGAAAAGAGTTGTTAAAAAAAAACCCACAACCGGCAAAATAAGACGAGATGCCTATACAACTATCCTATTGTTGGACCTTCATCCAAACCGGTTGTAGCCCGTGAGGAATGTATCAGATGCTCCCACCCTTGGAGTGCTCCCGAGTGCTCCACACAATTTAAAATGTTCATAAAATTTTGAAAAAAATCTAGCACATTCACACAACATGAATGCATGTTTTCACCAAATTTTAAATCAAAAATCAAAACACTGCTCGAGATACAAAAATAACAAATTTGATATCAATGTGATAATGGGCCAAATCTCAAGCCCAACTTATGTTATGTACTATTTACTGTCGAATTTGTCATATATGTTTCTCGCGCTATGTTTCGAATTTTTATTCCAAATTTTGTGACAACATACATGTTGTGTGAATGTGCTAATTTTTTCCCGAATTTTGTGAACATTTAAAAATGTTCTACTGAGTTCGGAGCACCAAGAGCACCCTAGGGGTGGGAGCCAAGGAATTCTCCCAACGGTTGCACTCATAAGCCATATGCCCCTTGACTTCAGCACGACTGAGTAACGACCACGTACGAATCTACGAAGTTGCTTTGTACATGACCTGCAAAAAAATTGTAATGTTCTGCCTGTAAAAAATGATGTCGTTTTGATAGTTCCATGTGGCCCAAATTAATGCACACACACCGACTCGAATATGCGCCGCTAGTTTAGAGTATCTTCATCCGTTCGGCCCCCTAGGGGCTTGAAATAGCACCACCTGGGGGCCAACCG